AAAAAAAAAACCTGGGGTTTGGAGAGGGGTGATCTCAGAAATGAAGTTACATGGTTCTGGGTTCGAATCCCAGGTCTGCAGTTTGATGACTACAGCCCTTGTATGAGGTGATTGGCCCATTCCCAGCCTCAGTGAGCTTGTTCTTAGAGCCAATTAACAACGCCTGACTCTTGTGCAATGGCTGAAGAGGACAGCACATTTCTACAGAGCATCGTGCCCAGCTGACCACAGCAGACTGCCACCTCTGACGGGCTTCAGGGACCTGGCTGGAGGCTTAGGCCATGGCCTTGTCCCCACAGAGCCCTGCAGGACTTGACTCTACTGTATCCCCAAGTCCAGGGAGGGAAGGTCACATAACTGGGCAAGAGCAAGAGGCCCTCCCCTTGAGACACTGCCTCACCTTCATGTCCCCCCCTCTAGGGCCTTAAACTTTGGTGGCATTGGTGTCGTCGTGGGCCATGAGCTGACTCATGCTTTTGATGATCAAGGTACGGATTCCTCAGGGTCCCCTTCAGATGGGCCTGTCAGCTTCCTGGCCCCCCTGCCTCTACCTTCCACTCCCTTCTAAAGTTCTTAGCTTTGGAGCTAGAAGGATCTAGGTTCAAATCCTGGCACTACCACCTGTTAATGATAAGAACTTTAGCAAGTCCTGTGCTTTCTCCAAGCTTCCACTTCCTTATCTGTAAACTGGGAATGATGATTTGAATGTCACGCAGTGATTGGGAGGATCGTGGGAAGCGCGTAGTGGGGCTGCTGCTGTGGGCGGGGATTAATAGTGAGCAGGGAGCGTACATTTCTCTGCCACTCCAGAGTCCTCTCTAATCCGACCACTGTCAGGGGAGTTGAAGTCAGTCCCTCCTCACCAGCTAATGTCCAGATTCCTCCTCACTGCCTCCTGCCTGGGGACCCCACAGCTGAGATGGAAGAGGCGGAGACCTCTGTGACCGGAGCCTGTCATGTGGTCCCAGTGGCGTTGGCTCCTTTTGCCCCTTCCTGGGTATCAGTTACTTAGGGTCAGGGTCTCTTAACAAGTCTTGAAAATAAACCCAGCTCCTCTGTGCCTTTGGTCACTCTGGGGCTTTGCCTGAACCACTTTCCTCCGTCCCCTCCTGCTGAGTCTGAATGGCCCACCCATACACCTCCTTCCACACCCAGATGGACCCCACCTCCCATGTTGGCTGGAGGACAGGGTAGACAGAGGAGGGAAGAGCAGTCAGGAGCCACTGGTCCCCACTCCTCCGGTCCTTCCCTTCACCCAGTGCCTCCCTCTGGCCCACAGGGCGGGAGTATGACAAGGACGGGAACCTGCGACCGTGGTGGAAGAACTCATCTGTGGAAGCCTTCAAGCACCAGACCGAGTGCATGGTGGAGCAGTACAGCAACTACAGCGTGAACGGGGAGCCCGTGAACGGCCGCCACACCCTCGGGGAGAACATCGCTGACAACGGGGGCCTCAAGGCTGCCTATCGGGTGAGAGTCCTGCCCCGACAAACCCCCCAGCCCCACTGGCCTACCCAGATATCCCCCTGCCATCACAGACACCCCGGTGGCCGCAACAGCCCTGTGAGCTACCATTCCCCATTGAGCTGGGTGGTCAAGAGGACTGATGGAGGGCTGTCTGGGGATGCGCCCAGTGTGGAACTAAGATGCCAGAGCCCTTTCTGCTCTGAGACTGGCCTGACCGAGAGACTCAGGAAAAGGTCCGCCTGAGGAGCCTGCCTGTTTTTACCTTTGCGGGGGAAGCTGCCCTCAAATCTATGGGCCTATGGGCTCCTGTGGGCCTGGGGAAGGGGGAAGAAGGAGGGAGGGAAGGGGACATGGGTCGTGGAGCCAGTCTGGGCTCAAGTCCTGGTTCTGGAGTAAATCATGTACCCTCTGTAAGGCTGTGGGTGTGGCCAAAAACAGCTAATAACTGCACCATCAGGTTGTTGGGAAGAGGGAACAAGACGAGATGGATGTAGGGCCCTGGCTCAGGGAGGCACTCAGAGGTGTTAGCTGAACTGGATTCAAGTTACAGAGGCCACGGGAGCAACACAGAGCTTCCTTCTAATGGTGACCTCTGTCAGTTTAGGAAGGAGCCTAGGATTTTATTCTGGTTACAAAGGAGGGCCGTAGGGTGTATAAAGAGAGAGCATATAAAGGAAGGACATGGTCTAACTTGTCTCACACTCTGTCACCCTGGGGCGGAGTGCCATGGAGTCATCATAGCTCACAGCAACCTCCAACTTCTGGGCTCAAGTGAACCTCCCACCTCAGCCTCCCAAGTAGCTGGGACTGCAGCACACACTACCATGGCCATCTAATTTTTCTATTTTTTGTAGAGACAGGGTCTTGGTATTGCCCTGGCCGGTTGTGAACTCCTAATTTGTCCTTTAAAGCCTACAGCCTGGAGGCCAAATCTAGCCCAGAGCCTGTTGCAAATAAAGATTTTTGGAGACACAGCCACACCCATTTGTTCACACATCATCTGTGGCTGCTTTCACGCCATGACAAAAGAACAGAGTCCTTGCAACAGGGGCTGTCAGCACACAAAGCTGAATGTATTAGCTCTGTGGCCCTTACAGGAAAAGTCTGCCACACAGACTTTTATAAGGTTCACTTAAGTTGGCTCGGCGCCTGTGGCTCAAACGGCTAAGGCACCAGCAATATACACCTAAGGCGGTGGGTTCGAATCCAACCCGGGCCCGCCAAACAACAATGATGGATGGCTGCAACCAAAAAATAGCCAGGCGTTGTGACGGGCGCCTGTGGTCCCAGCTACTTGGGAGGCAGAGGCAGGAGACTCGCTTGAGCCCAGGAGTTGAAGGTTGTTGTAAGCTGTGATGCCACGGCACTCTACCCAGGGGGACAGCTTGAGGCTCTGTCTCGAAAACAAAAAAAGGTTCACTTAAGTTGCTATGTGGAGGGAATTAGATTTGGATCTCCATTGTGCAGATGAGCAAACTGAGCCCAGAAACATTCAATTAAGTTGCGAACCCTTCCCTTCTCATTCCATAGTGAGGCAAGGACACTAGTTATCCATCCAGGCAAGAGGTGGGATAGAGTGAGAAGTAATCAGATGTGGGGTGTTCAATTTAAGAGAAAGAAAAATTAAAGAAGAGTTCTGGTTTTGAATCTGAGTAGGTGGGCCACTGACTGTCATGGGGAAAGTGTTCTTGTACACACGCACGTGTATGAGTCTGCGTGTAAGCTGTTGTTTTATTTGTGCCATGTTAAGTCTGAGATGCATCTTAGTTGTCCAGCTGGGGCAGTTGATTATACAAATCAGGGAGGAGGGTGGAGCTGACAGTCTAACAGTGAGGGTCATCAACACACAGATGGGGTTTTAAGCCACAGGTCTGAATGAGAGCAGATTGAGAAGAGGGCTCCTCAGCTGGACACAGTGGCTCTCACACCTGTAATCCTCATGCTTTGGGAAGCTGAAGCAGGAGGATGGCTCAAGGCCAGGAGTTTGAAATCAGTCTGGACAATATAGTGAGACCCCCCACTCTCTGATGATGAGTACCATGGCATCATCATAGCTCACAGCAACCTCAAACTCTTGGGCTCAAGTGATCTTCTTGCCTCAGTTTTTCTATTTTTAGTAGAGACAAGGCCTTGGTCTTAGGCTGGTTTCAAACTCCTGAGTTCAAGCAATCCACCACTCTTCACAGAGTGCTAAGATTACAGGCATGAGCCACCTTGCTCAGCCTCTATAAAAATTTTTAAAAATTAGTCAGACATGGTGGTACACGCCCGTAGTCCCCAGCTGAGGCAAGAGGATTGCTTCAGCGTAGGAGTTGGAGGCTGCAGTGAGCTATGAGCAAGCCTGCTCGCCAACCTGGATAACAGAGGGAGATCCCATCTCTTAAAAAAATATGAAAAGGAAGAAGAAGAGGACTCTTCCAGGCTGAGCCCAGGCCTAGAGCCCCAGAAACCAGTCCCTGCTCCAAACAGGGGAGACCTGCAACAGCCCCATGCTACCCCCTCCATCACCACCTGTCATGGGAATCCCTGAGCTTTGATCTTTCTTCCCAGGCTTACCAGAACTGGGTGAAGAAGAATGGGGATGAGGAGACATTGCCCACCCTGGGTCTCACCAATGACCAGCTCTTCTTCCTGGGGTTTGCACAGGTGAGTTCATCGCAGGTGAGGAAAAAATACCAAACTTAGTTGCTTTCTGCCTTCTTGATATTCCAAGAGCTCTGAGAGGCAAAAAAGTAAGTTCCCCTCAAATTGAGAATTTCCTAACTCATGGGACTGTCTGTAGGACATACGCCCTGTCACAAGGCACCCTTCCTGTCATTAGAGTTTCAAGGAAGGGCCAAGAAAGCTAATAAAAAGTCTCCTGTATCTAGTAGGTCAGAGGACACAGCAGTTGCTAATATCCCTTCTGGTTCTGGGGTTCTAGAAATTTCAATAAACTCAAGATGCCCCAAGGCCATCAGCTGAGTTGGCATTCAGTTGATAGCCTTCTCTTGGCACCCAGAGCTGCCAGGCCATTAGACAGTTTGTTCTGCCCAGGAAGTGAGCGATCTGGATTAAATCCAAGGTTTTCAAACTGGTGTTTGGACACAATCTCTGGTTCAGACAAAATCTAACACAGGTGCCTCAGACCGAGATGCTGCTCTGGCTGAGGGAAGGAACACAGTTTGGAGATACCAGGTGGGAGGGTTTGTCCCTCTGCCATCGTGACAGGGGCAGTCCAGTGGCCTCGGGGCCCTGCAGTGACATTGGCCTCTCTGTTGCTCCCACAAAGGTCTGGTGCTCTGTCCGCACACCTGAGAGCTCCCACGAAGGCCTCATCACTGACCCTCACAGCCCTTCCCGCTTCCGGGTCATCGGCTCCCTCTCTAATTCCAAGGAGTTCTCGGAACACTTCCGCTGCCCCCTCGGCTCACCCATGAACCCACAGCACAAATGTGAAGTCTGGTAGGGGCGAAGCACAGAGAGCCGTGAAAGAGAAGGGGAGGGGGCTGAGGACAAGACCCTGGGCGGGGCCAACAAGCCTGCCCCCCTCCCAGCCTCCGGGGCATCGCCCAGCCCAGTTGGCACCCAGGGCCCCCTTCCTCCGAGCTGGAGGGTTTTCACCTCGAACTGAGCCCATGATGCAGGCTCTCAGCATAACCTGAGATTTGGTCCCCTCTGAAGACCCTGACATCCCAGGCACAGGGGTGTCCATTCTAGCAGGCATTTGGGTGTCAGGCTGGTGGCTTACCGTGCCTGGGCCACGTGATGACAAGGGTCCAGATACATCACAAATACCACTGTGTCAAATGCTTTCGATATATATTTTTGGGGAAACTATTTTTTAAACATTGTGGAATACACTGGAAATCTTCAGGGAAAAAAATGCATTTAAAATACTTTTTTTTTTCTTTTAAGGAAAGGATTGGTATATTTATTATGTTCTGTTTTTCTAAGTGATCTGTGGACAAGGGAAGCCCCAGTGATTAACTGACTCCCTCTCTTCCCCGCTCACTGTGAGGCTGGACTGAGGCCAGGGTGCCTAGGCCACTGAGCAGGTTCCCAAATTAGAGAGCTGCCACAGCCCTTAGGGTGTGCCATTTCAGCCTCAGTCACCTGGTGTGGATAGGAGAAGCATAGTGGCCAGGCAGAGGGAGGCGCCAGCTGGAGGAGGGTGGGGACGTGGGCAAGTCATGGGTACTGTTCCTGTCAGCTTACCTGCCCCTCTCCCCACGGTCAGATATTGGGAACTCCAGCAAGAAAGCCTGACCTCCAGAGTCACAGCAGGGGACTGCTGTAGCAGAATCAGGCCAGGTCAGGGACTCAAACACCACACAGGCTCCCTGAGCACCCTGGGTCTGGCCCACAGGAGCCCTGTGAGGCTGTGATGCCCCGTCAGATGCACATAGCTGTACCATGGATGTCTTCTTTCCGCCCCTCCTTCTTTGGCCACCCCTTATCTGTCTAGGGCATGTCGCCTTTCTGTAGCAATCCCCCAATTCCAGCCACTTAGGGGCCTGGCCACCCTCTTCCCTAGGGGAAGGAGAAAAGAGAAAACAGTGCTGGTCCCCCGCAGGGCCATATCCTCCCTCTGAGCTCCGTCCTCCTCCACCGGGCCTGGGCCTGGCTCCCAGCACCAGTTCTCAAGTGCCTTATCTGAGGCTGTGGCCCAAGGAGATAGCCCTTGCCCCCAGAGAGCCCTTGGCCTCCTCAGTGTAGCCCCCAAGTGTCCTGACTGGAACACAGGCCATAGTCCCACTCCCAGTAACCGCAGGGCTGCCCAACCTGAGAGCTCTGGCCTTCTGGCCTACAGGTCAGTGGCCCCAGACACCAGGAGTCTGAGGAACTACTGAACTTGCCCTGGGCTCCAGCCCCGGTCAGCCCCTTGGTTGAATCAAAACAGTACTAACAGCTGCAGACTCATCTCCTTTAGGGGATGCTTATAGCCAGGGGAGGGTATAAAGGAAGGTTCTCCAACCCAGTTTGGCCTGCGGTGTCCTGTGTCCCCCTCCCTGAGACCACAGCTCCAGTAGCAAGTCCGTGAGCTCCACCAGGCAGACCCACGTGTAGCATCCATGTTGTTCTGTGGCCGGTAACTAAAGCAGGAGCATAGCCCAACACAGTCACAGCTCTGTCACCTCAGGGGCCAGAGCCCTATCCCCATAGTGCAGTCCCCTCACCCAGGAAGCCAGAATCCTCCCTGCCTGAGAGGAGCAGACAGCTCTGTGAGTGCCCTGCCTTCTTGGATCACCCTCTGAGCTGCCGCGGGGGTGTTGGGAGTGGATTCGAGGTGAGTCTAGTCCCTACATGCGGAAATGCTGGTAGCTCTTCTGAGTAAAGACAGGAGGGAACCAGAGAAGGAGCCAGAGCCAGGAGCTGGCCACAGGCACCTTGCCATGCAGAGATGGGCCTTTCCTGGCCCTGGCCTTCTCTTCCTACCTCCTCCCCCCAAACCTGCTTCCTGCCTTGGGGGGTGGTCCTGGAGACCTCCCAAGGGAAGTAGGTCCCTCAGGCCTGGGCACATTCCAGGGAATGCAGGCTGCTCACACTGCTCAGAGGCAGGGGTAGAGTTGGCAGAGGGGAGGGGAGAAGAGAGCTTAGGCCTGGCAGGGATGAAAGCGGAGGAAGCACCCTCACTGCCACTGCCCCCTCCAGAGCCTCTCCCCTTGGCCCCGGGAACCACGGGGCTGGCTTCTCTGTGGGTACATGGACGTGCGGTCGGGAGCTGGGAATCTATTTTTTGTATCATTTTGTTCTGTGCTACTGTAGTTTTGGTGTGGCACTATTGTAATTAAAATAAAGTACTTGTACCACGTACCACGTGTCCAAGTGTCTGTCCTCCCACAGTGGTGTGTGTCCTATAGGGCTATGGGAGGGCCCCCCACACACCGCCAGCACAGAGTTTCCCACTGCAGCCACACCTCCCCCCAAAGCAGAGGCCTTGGACCCTCACAAATACCAGTAGGTCACTCAGTCCCTTCATCCACGTAATATGTGAGCACCCCCTACAGGTGAGAGAGATGCACAGCACCCTGGGCTAAGGGGTCTCTCTGCATTATCTTGACAAAGGGAGTTTCCAGGTCTCGGATGCTCAGACAGGACCAGCAAAAGTAAATTCAAAGTTTAGGAAAGAGTCTCTGACATACACTTATGCCTCGCCCTGGGTTTTGCACATGTTCTTGCCTCTGCCTGGAGATTTCTTCTCCGGATTCTTTGCCCTATAAACTACCTATCCTTGAAAGCCCAGCTCAATATCACCTCTAGTTAGGATCAAGAAGCTCATACAGGTTTCCTCCTCCTCTTGGAGTGTTTTAGTTGGCTAGGTGTGTTAGTTTTCTGGGGCTGCTACTACAAAATACGACAAATTTGGCAGCCTACACAACAGAAATTGTTGTCTCACAGTTCTGAAGGCTTAAAGCTCAAGATCAAGGTGTTCGCAACATTGGTTCCTTCATAGGGTATGAGAAGAATGTGTTCTAGGCCACCTCCTTGCTTCTGGTGTGGCTGGCAATCTTGGGCGCTCCTTGGCTTATAGAGGCATTGCCCTGATCTCTGCCATCATCTTCTCCCTCTTTGCATGTCTGTGTGTCCAAATTTCCTCTTTTTATAAGGACACAGTTGTATTGGATTAAGGCCTACTCTAATAATGTCATTTCACCTAATTGTGTCTTCAACAAGCCTATTTTTAAATAAGGTCACATTCTGAGGTGCTAGGGGTTGGGAAGTCAATGCACAAACTTTGGGGAAGAGAACACAATTGAACCCACAACACAGAAGTCCCCATTCTCTAGGCTGTGGAGGTGCCAGTACCATCTCCAGTAGGGTTCCATGACTGTTGGATACCTGGAGGCGTGGGCAAAAGGTTGCAGGGTGGCTGGAGAGCCATAAATACTGCTTGACTAAATAAGGGGACCACCCCAGAATTCACTGGTGGGCGTGAGAGAATGAGCTCAGTGGGGTCAGGTAACCAGAAAAGATTTCCTGGAGAGGAGAAATGCTAGGTAAGCCTCGAATGAACAGGAAGGATTGCGATTCGTCTCCCACCGTGGACAGAGTGATGGCGACACAAGCACCCATTCAAGGCACAGACCTCACCCTGACTGTGCTACTCGTTTTAAAGGCGCTAAACCATTTCTCTGAGATGCCGTTTCTCTATGAAATGGTTGGTAAGCTCTCTTTTCTCACTGGTGTGACCCACAAATGTTAGGGAGATTTTAAGGCTGCTTGAAACAGTGATATGCTTTGAGCTTCTCAGAAGTTCAAACCGGGTGAGTGATGGCTTGGCGCCTATGGCTCAGGTGGCTAAGGCGCCAGGCACATACACCTAAGGTGGTAGGTTCAAATCCAGCACAGGCCTGCCAAATAACAATGACGGCTGCAACTAAAAAATAGCCGGGCGTTGTGGCAGGTACCCGTGGTCCCAGCTACTTAAGAGGCTAAGGTAGGAGATTCGCTTGAGCCCAGGAGTTGGAGGTTGCTGTGAGCTGTGATGCCACAGCACTCTACCCAGGGCGGCAGCTTGAGGCTCTGCCTCAAAAAAAAAAAAAAACAGGTGAGTGCCTGCCCACCAGCGTGCGTGAGCCTGACCCCCCAGCATGTCTCACCTCCTCCCCTCCAACTACAATGCTGCCCTCATCCCGCCTTCCCAGCACCTGCCTTGGCCCTCCCTGCCCTCTAAGGTCCTCCGCTCCACCTTGAGATGTTTTGCGATTCACCTGCCTCAGCCTTGTAGAGTGCTAGGATTACAGGCATGAGCCACTGCGCCCAGCTTGATCTTCACATTCTTTGGCCATTCAGAAAGATCTATCCACGAACTTCTCTAGATGTCCTTGTCATCAATTTCCCAATCATGTCTTTTTTTCCATCAGTTTCCCAATCATGTCCTTTTTTTTTTGGAGACAAAGTTATACTTTCTTGCCATCAGTATTGTGCCATGACATCATAGTTCACACCAGCTTCAAACTTTTGGGCTCAACAGATCCTTGCCTCAGCCTCCCGAGTAGCTGGGACTACAGGTGCCCTCCACAACGCCCAGCTATTTTTAAAGAAGGGATCTTGCTTTTGCTCAGGCTGGTGTTGGCCTCCTGAGCTCAGGCAATCCACCTGCCTTGGCCTCTCAGAGTGCTAGGATTACAGGCATGAGCCACCACACCTGGCCCCAAATCATGTTCTTTACCATACAGCCAACCACTGGGCATAGCCCATGAATCCATGTAAACTCATGCCTCTGGCTCGGCGCCTGTGGCTCAAGTGGCTAAGGCGCCAGCCACATACACCTAAGGTGGCAGGTTCGAATCCCCAGCCCGG